TATATTTGAGTTTTATTATTCATAATTATTATTTATTTTTTTCGTTTTACCATGTTAAAGGCGATTTAATAGTAGGTGGCTCTTCTTTGTTAGTTTTTATTTTTAGATATTTTTCAAGTAATTTTTTCTGTTGAGTTATATTTTGTAATAATTCATGAATTTGTTTGAGCAAAAGTAAACTATCTATTTCTATAATATTGTTTAGTATTTGACTAATTATATTTAATTTATCTCCTACTGGTTTATCTTCTTCAGAACTAAGACTAATATTATATAATTTTCCTTGTGGTAAATTTTGTGGTATTTCTATAATCATTTCTTTATCTGATATGCATGGTTTTGAATTTTGATATGGACCTTCAAGTGTTTTAAAATATTTTAAAGAATTATTAGACGATTCCATCATATTCGTAGACTTAAAGATCTAATCATTTCTTTGATATCTTCTAATTTTTCATCTTTATTTTCAGAAGATGTTGAGAGTTGGGTTTCCGAAATGGAAGATCTGCCAATTATGGTTGAAATTAGAGGTTCTATAATTGTATTTCTTTTTATTAAAGGAGTGGTTATTATTGGTTGAAAATTAGCTTCATTAAATATTCGATTATTTGTCATTTTTGGTGATTCAAGGGATAATAAAAGGGTAAATAGTTTATCTATGTAGATTCTATCTTCTGTTTTAAATGTAATACTATGATGAGAATTTGTTAATATATAATTTATTTGATATGTAATAGTAAACGGATGATTACCTTTTAGCATACAATTTTGTCTTAATAATTTGTATCATACAGTAATATTGTTACTTAAATTTTTATCTTTAAGACTTAATCCTAAATGAATATTAATATTAAATTTTATTTTTTCTTCGATTAAATTACCTTTTCCTTTTACAATAATACTTTCTTGATTATTAATTGTACGATCGTCTCTTATTTCTAATTCTAGTGGAGTATCTAAATCCCTAAAAGTACTTTTTAAAATTACTTGAATTGTTGATATATGAATATAGACGATTTTAATCTATCTATTTCTTTAATATTAGATAATCGATTTCTTATTTGTTGTTCATTTCTTATAGGTACGATAATATTTACTTGAGTTTATTCTATAGGTATAGGTTATTCTCTTATAATTTTTCCATAATATATAATATTTTTTCTAAAAAATAAGTTCTTTAAACTGTTATATTTAAAATTATGTTTTTCTGATAATGTAAAAATTTGTTTTTCGTATAGCATCTTTATTAATATTGTTTTTATTAATGAGGGCATCAAAAGTATATCCAGATTCATTTTATTCATTATTAATAATTATTGGTGAAATTTCTATTTCCTAAGATATATTTAACAAATTAAATTTGTTATTTTATCCTCAAGACTTATTATTTGTTCTTGTTGCCAATTTATAGTATTGTTTACTATACGTATTGCTTCAATATTATATATGCTATTAGGTATTGATGTGTTATAATATGTTTTTAAAGAAAAAAGAAGATTTTTAGCTTCTTTTATTACTTTACGAAAAAAGTTTAATTCTTGTTTACATATTTCTAGACTAGAAAAACTCATAATTCTAGCCTTGAAACCAAAATGAAATCAGTATAAATTATGTAAATTAAACAAAATGAAATTAGTATAAAATATGTATAATAATAATAATAATAATAATAATAATAATAATAAATATGATAATACATAGAATGTCTAACCTGAATGTTGCGTTTATAATTGATGATATAAATTTGAATACGAACTCTGTTATTCAGAAATATAAATTTCAACAGAGGAAAGCTTTGAGAATACTCAAGTCTTACACAAAATAACTCTGATTTATTCATAATGGGCAACACTCTATTTATATACATATAGACTCTTCGAGAGTCTGGCATACAATATGATTATAAATGACAAACGACAAACGTAGATTATTACAATCTATTATTGCAAGATACGACAAAATTACATTATTAGAATCTATTATTGTAAGATATTATTCTAAGATGACAAACACAATTATTCTTCTCACATATTACGACAAAATGACTCACATTGAAATTAATAGAGAAAATAGAAAAAACAAATGAAATTAATAGATAAAATATATAAAAAACAAATGAAAATGATAAAAACAAATGAAAATAATAAAAGAGTCATTTCATATTGGTCATGGACCAAATCCACCAAAAATTTATGATTTAGAACCAATGATGCAAGTAAAAAAACCTTTTGGACCGTTACACTTTTTTCTAACCGACCAAACTTTTTGGACCCGTTACTCATTTTACAAAACTCACAATCCGGAGACGTGCAAGTTAGAATGTTTTTAATTTTGGAAAGGTTTTATAAAAGACCGTTGGAATTGGGAAGCCAAAAGGTTTGGGTCGGTGTATTGGCGCATAAAATATACATTCTCCACTCTTCCTTCTTCACTTCACTTATCCCGCTTCGCTCTCCAAACACTGTCGGAGACGACTCATCGCGACCTCTGTAACTCAGCTCACCGGAGACACAAGCACCCCCACCCTTTGTAGGACACTCACAACCATGTCGGTAATCCTAAGAAGTTATCTGTAACTTTTCATTCTTATCATTTTTCTCTTTTCCCTTTTATTTTAGTTCTCTAGGGTTTTCTGTATTTCAGATGTTGTAATCTTCTCTGTATGTATGCATAAGAGAAAAATCAAAGCATAGTTGCGTTTTTTTTTTCAGTAAACTCTGGTTTTCTAATTGCACAAGTTGTATTGCAAGTTAAAAACATAAGGAAACCACATAGTTTTTCTGTAGTTTTGTTGATCGTTTCGTTAGGGTTTTCTCCTTTATCTTTTTATTGATTTTTTTTCTCTGTGAAATCTGATTTAGCGTGTTTGGTACGCTTGTTTCAGAATGTGTTCTTATGAATAACCAATTTTATCAGATCAGATCACGAATGTGTTACTCAAATCTCTTTTTGTGAATAACCAATTTTGGCTAACAACAACATTGTCATCATGGGTTATTATTAGGGTTACATAATCTGCCACATTTATCAACACATAGATTGACTCCCCATGGTACATAAATTTCTGAAGCTTAAGAAACCAATTTGTACTTTGCTAATTACTTAATATTAATATACATGCAAAATGTCTATTAGGGTAATAATGAAAAGCCTTTCCATATTGTTTATAGGCTTCAAATTGCAAATGTTGTATGCATCAGATGTTGGACAACCAAATGTTGAGGTATAAATTAATTTATTTGTTTACATATTCACAACATTCATCACATGTTACAATGATTTCCTATTAAGTAACTTGTTTACTAGCCAATTTACCCTTGTAGTATAAGTTGTTTGATTTAAAACTGGTTATTGCTGATGCAGGAAACAATGAGGATTCAGACTTGTACTTAGAACCATACATCACCTATATATATATATATATAAACTATACCCATCTGTAAGTTTTTACACACAATTCTAAGAGTTTAAATTTTATCATTTTAAAATTATTTTTAGTCCCTGCAGCTTCTCAACCTGATTTTGTATCAACATGGCTCCAATTTTTCAATAAAGAATTTGTATGCAATGTATCCTTTGCAGACCATGAAGCCTTTGATCATCTATTACATGTAAGTTTTTAAAGTGCATTGTTGCTCATTCTCCCATTTAAATTACACGGCTTTAATAGTAATGAATATGCAGGCCTTTTGGTTGTTTCTTCAAATGACACGGATCCTATCAACAGGTTTGTGGATCTTTTTAACATGAACCAAATTACCCCTGCTTCTTAATGATGGTGCAATGGATCCAAAGATTCCATTTTTTTTGGTCCACGACAACAAAGATGGATCAACAGAGAGGTTTTTTTCACTCCTTACATATCAACTTTATTATGATGTAAAAAGTATTGAATATATATGTGTGAATTTCATAATTGCATGTGATAAAGTGAAACTTGAATGACATGGATTTTTTGACAGATGTCTAATGCTTCTCCTGGTCAGCATCTTGGCTTTTTGCTCAGCAGAGAGGATGTGGGTGAGGTTCTTTCTGAAAAAAAAACAATTTTATATAATAGAATAACTATCCATAAATATAAACTTTTTAACCTTTCTCAATTGCATTAGTTGAAGGACATTATTCCTAACATGACCTGTTCTAAATCAGCATGTTGTTTTTCTTTCCTACGTTTTCTATTTTAATCCTAAGTGCAACTTAGGGCATGTGTGGTTCATGGGTTTCATAGAAATTTGAAGGAATTGGAATGGAAGATTCCTTAAGTTACACACTTGGTTGACAAAATGGATGGAATTGGATCCCATTAAACTCCCCCAAAATCTGTAATCAAAGGATTTTCCATATCTAGGGAAGAATTGGAATTCCTTTATTTATTTCTTCATTAAAAAGACTAAATTTGTCCTTACAACCCAAATATTGTTTTTTCAAATCTTGCGCCTTCTTTTTTCTCACCCCTAATTTATCTTAATATACAACTCTGTAAATGTAGATATTTATATTCAATTATTATATTATTAGTTATTTATTTTTCTTCATAAGTCATTTGTAATATCATATTACTTTTTCTTTTAATGTTTATGAAATTAGTGTATGCATGTTTGATGTGTATATAATTTGTGTTTAATAATTGTCTTATAAGTAAATCTTTTCCAGTAAATAGCAATTCTATTATTTTATAAAAAAAAAGTCACTAAATGGTGTTTTGGTCATTTAACATAATTTTCACTTCAAGATTTACAAACCAAACGCAAAACAAAACATGAATGGAATTGAAATCCTTTCCATTTCCTTTCAACCATACACATGACATATTCCAATTCCTTTGACAAATTCCATTCATTTCAAAATTATTTTGCGAACCACAAGTTACCTTACATTACTCTGAGATTAATTGCTATTCTTAATTCCAATCCCTTTGAGAAATTCCATTCATTACTCTGCAACAAGAAAGGGCTTTAGAAACCAATTACAAAATTTGGGGTTTAGAAAAGGAAAAGAAGATGCCCCCGAGAATCAAAGTGTTAACATGTATGTTTTTACCCTTAACACTAGAAAAAACTTCATACTTTTTATGTTCTTATTTAGTTTTTCTGTTAATGCTTAAAGGTACACTTTTAGTTCCATTGAATCTCAAATACCTTGCTTTATCAAATTACTGCCTTCAATCCACTGGTTACAACCTGACAAAGCATGGAAATGATATACAGGTGTACAGGTAGCTATAGCTATGAGTCTATGACCCTGTTTGTGTATTTCCAGAAATACCCCTCTGTTCCTAAAACTTGTGCTTATTTATTATCCTCAGGAAATGATGTGCTTATTTATTTAAAAGATGCTAAATATTGCATGGAAAATGTCTTCAGCACTTATTTAGTACGCCTGGTAATTCTTTACAGTTTATATTTGTTATTTGGTCAAGATTTTACTTATCTAAAAAGTGTACTTTCTTTTAGCAAATTGAGACATCAGGGAAGGGAAGGGAAATGGCACATGGTGTGGTCTTTGGTGGGATGAAATGTTAGAAACAAGTGGTCAATATAAAGAGGGTGCTGGTGTTTAAGGTAATAATCAATTCTCTTTTGTGAATAAAAATATAAATATGAGAATTTTGTGAACAACTTCAATCTTTTGCAGGAACCTCTTCGTTTAGCTGTGATGCTTGAACAAACATCTTATTGCTGTTACCTTTTAGCCAAACCAATTATATTTAGGAAGTATGGATTTCATCTCAATCTTTCTGATGATCTATACAAGAAATGTGATCAGGTATTGCAAATTTTGTTAATATTTTAATTGATAATTTTGTTTTACTATTAGTATTTAATAGATAATTTTCTTTAATATTTACTCATAATAGCAATGTATTTATAGCTTTTCATCCAAAAACAACAATCATTAACTTGAAAAAACACTAACAGGTTATTATTATTATTATTATTATTATTATTATTATTATTATTATTATTATTATTATTACTATACGAATTTCCGCGCGTTGCGCAGCGAAGATTAAAAATATATTGTTAAAATATTGAAAAATATATGTTTAAAATGGTTATGTAATTGACATTAACTTTGAGATAATATTTTTACACTAATTTATATATATATATATATATATATATATATATATATATATATATATATATATATATATATATATATAATCTCAATTATTTTGAACAATAATATTCATTGAAATCAACCCACATTCATCATTAATAGAATTAAATATAATTATCTATTTAGTATTATTTTTAACAATTATTATTATTGATTAATTATATTTTTACTGATGCAATCATTTTCTAATTTTAATAATGATGTTCATTTAAAATACAATTTATTTTATAGCTAAATGTAATTTATAATTTGATGTTATTATCATTTAAAATTGTTATTCATTAATTTTAAACCACTTATTATTAATAATAAGTTAAAGAAGACTTTTAAGAAACAATTAATATTATTATTAAAATGTGAAACATACACTAAATAATAAAGTGATAAGATAGACAATTTGCATTTTAAAAGAGACTTGCATGGATAATATAACATATCCATGTAATTTGATTTTATTATTTATAATTATTGCTTATTAATTTTAAAACCACTTATTATTATTAATAAGTGAAAGAAACATTTAAAAAACACTTATTATTATAATTAAAATGTTAAACATATACTAAAATATAAAGTGATAAGATTGACAATTTGCATTTTAAAAAAGGCTTACATGGATAATATAGATAATATGACATATCCATGATTTTTAATTAATTATTGTTTTGAAGCAACATGAACATACAAACATGTATACAATAGTTAATTAAATATTATATATATCACCTTCCATAACATATGATCGATAACATGAATCTAATCTAATTTACATTAAAATTTCAACCACAACATACAATGATTTTCTTAAAAGAATACTTAAATCAAGAAAATACAAAAAAGAATTAGTATATAACAAACTTACAAATTAAAAAATTTAACATAGTAACATGGCTCAAAAAATTGTTCAAAGCCCTCAAACCAACACAAAAAACTTTAGACTTGTTTTCTTTGTGAATTTTGTATGTGATTTGTATTTGTGTGTCTACTCAAAAAGATTGACCTTTTTATAGTAGAGTATCCATTAATTGTTTATTAAATATATTATATAAGTTATAAAACCTTTGAATTGTTAACCATTATTAAGAGACTTTTGAGTGGTATTCATTAACATAGGAGGTTTCCAAATGCATGAGGTGTTTGCAAATTTTTATTGGGGTTTCAAATGCATGAGGTTCAAGGAAAAATACTAGCTTTATAAGTATGTATGATTATTATTATTATTTTTAGCGGACGACAAGGGTTTTTCAAGAAGAGCATATTAGAAAACATCATATGCCAAGTGCAGTTGTGGTTGTGAATGTTTTATGTATGGGATGACTATGATAGATTGTTTTTCTTTTTACATTTGTTGGCAAGCAACTTAAGGCATAGTAATAGTGTATATGTATCTGGATTATAGGTCAAATCTTGGATACATACGTTTCACACATGGGGTTAATTTTGGGGATTATGTTTTAAAGGACCCTCACGAAGGTTAGGATTTGATACAAGTGGCATACCTTGGTATATAAGGTTTTAAAGGACCCTCCAAGGAAAATTAAGTTCATGACAAAACTGCTCTTTCTTTTTGGCTTACTTACTATATTTTCATTTGTGTAGGTCAACAACTTGAAATTGTTGGATGACATGGCAGAATTGAGTTCAGCCTACTGTGTTCCACAACTATATAACAGAGTATATGATGGATGGGGTATAAATGATTACTTTATGTATCTTTCAATCAGCAAGGCATATTGATGCTCAGTTACATGTGTGGTTGTTATTGTAGTGTTATAAATGCAGTGAAGAGGCAAGCATTATTTAATGAGGAGGCAAAAAGCAGTTTTTTAAAGGTAAAAATTTACAAAACTTCCTTCAGCACAAGGGAAGGAGGGTGCCTTGTAGTATTTAACAAAATAAAAGACAACTTACTTTCATTTATGCTTTCAGGTGCATCACCCTCCCCTTGTCTCCTGATGTCATGGATTTACTTAAGGTGTAAGTTATTTTTAGGGCTAAATGCAATATATAACAACTTGCTTTCATTCATTTGTGTTTTATTTCAGCATCCTAGTTTCATTTCTTTCTATTACAGTATTCTACTTTCAACTTTTTCATATGAAGACATTATACTTTAAAAAATTTACCCAATTATATAGCATACTACTTTTAGCTATTTTATTATTAGGACATTATACTTTTATAGATGTTTATAGCATTGTACTTTCATCTTTCTTTTTATTAGGGCATTTTGCTTTGAAAATTATACCCAATTATAGCATTTTCTTATTGTGACATTTTAGTATTGTACTTCCATTGTAATTTCAACTTTTTTATTATTATTGTTATAAAGGTGTTGCATTATGAAAGTTCTATGCATTTATAGCGTTGTACTTGTAATATTTCTTGTTAGGACATCATACTTTCAAAAATCTATCCAATCATAGCAATGAAAATTGCTCTGCTTTGTATTTTGATGGCATTGGTATAATTGGGTGGATTTTTACAAGTGCAATGCTATATATATAATAGAAATAAATGAAAGTAGGATGCTACAATACACAAATCAATGAAAGTACACATTTTTATTTCTTGCATTTAAACAAATATTGATGTATATATATAGTATTCATGTTTCAGAAGTAAAGTTTGTGGATCTCCCTGAGATATTAATAGTTACTTAAGTAATTCTTGAAAGATACCATTATTATTGAAGAAAGAAATTGCAATTAATGTTTTTTCTCGTTTCTCTTTCACTGATTTGCAATTTTGCTAGCAAAATAACTCTGGTCAAAATCTTGGATTAATCATTTGGTCCGAATGTGTTAGGTCTAACATATTGTAGTTGGTTTGTTTATGAGGTTTAACATATTGTAGTGTTGGCTGGCTAACAACAACACTGTCATCACAGGTTAATATTAAGGTCACATAATCTGCCTGCCACACACTTATCAACACATAGATTGATTCCCCATGAAGGTTGTAAGTAAAGCTTTATTTATGTATTTAATTTCTAATTTGTGGTTATTTGATAGGAAAAGATGGAGAAAAAGCTAAATGACCATATACGATGCCAAGGTAAATATATTGTCTCATACGTTTGTATGCTGTAGTTGAATGTTATTTAGATGCTAAGCTATAAAATCTTATATTAAAATATTATACTTTCATAATCTAACCTATGATATGAAGACATTGTCATTTTATTATTTTTCCTATTAAGTCACTGTACTTTGAAAAACTAAACATGTTTGGTTTTGGATACCATTTATAACATTATAAATTCAAATTTTTTATTATTAAGATAGTTTACTATCAAAATCTAACCAATTGCATGCAACATTATACTCCAAATCGTAACATTATATTTTCAAAATCCACCCTTTTAAGACATTGTAGTTTTAATACATTCTACTTTAGAATCTAAACTTGTTTAACCATGGTTACCAATTATAACGTTATACTTTATTTTTATTTTATTTTTCATATTAAGACACCATAGGTATTCATTAACAATCAATTTTTTAGTTTTTAACAGGCTTTGAGTAATTATAGTTCTCGTGTGTTAGTGAGTAATAAATACACTGTTAAATTTTTCATTTCTCTTATAGGAAGTTGCATGTTTCCATAGAATTGAATCTCACTCAAAAAAATGTTTAAGTGAATGAAATATATTTACGATGGTTTTTTTTTTTGGGTAATTATCATCCTAACGTTCTCTGGAAGGGATCCAAGAAGGTAACCATCATTTTGTAATTACTATGAAGCTTCATTGATTTAAATTTAGTCATGTAATGTTTTCTGTGTTGATTTTCATATTAAAAACATTAATTCTTTTTGAATAATGGCAACAAGAGAGGCAAAGATGAATCTATTAGACTAGTCTGTTTTTGTAATTATGTTATATTATGAGGTGGTCAAATGTAATGTTGTTTTGTATATATATACACCGATATCAATGAGAGGGGGATTGATTTTGGCCTTATCACATATTCTATTATGGTATCAGAGTATTACGTTCCTTCCTAATTAGCGCTAACCCTAATCGCCTCTCTCCCTCTCTTCTCGTTCTTCTTCTTTTGATCACCTCCACCACTCTCTAATGACAGGACCGACAGCCCCTCTTCACCCTGCACTCACTGTCACGAACATCAAGAATTACATACCAATCCTCCTTGATACGGATGACAGCCAATACACATCTTGGGCCGAACTTTTCAAGATACACTGTCGTGCGTTCCAGGTTCTTGATCATATCATACCACCTGCTTCATCTACTTCTGCCAAAGAAAAAGATCCTAAAGTCGATGAACAGTGGTCACACCTGGATGCCATTGTGTTACAATGGATATACGGGACGATTTCTAAAGATCTCCTCATAACCATTCTCTCGCTAGGAACCACCGCTGCCGCCGCCTGGAAGGCCATTGAAAACATCTTTATAGACAGTAAACCAGCCCGTGCTCTCCAGCTTCACCAGAAATTCGCAAATGTCAAGCTCGAAAACTTTCCTAACATGGCGGCATATTGCCAAGAAGTTAAAAATCTATCTGATCAGCTAACTAATGTCGAGGCTCCTGTAGAAAATCAGTGGCTTGTTCTACAGCTTATCTTCGGGCTCTCGGATCAATACGACAGCATCGCCACTCTTCTCCAACAATCCACTCCGTTACCCGACTTCTACACCGCCCGCTCTAAACTTTGTCTCGAGGAAACCAGAAAATCGCTGCATAACCCACCCGTCACCGCCCTCATTACCTCCATCACCGCACCAGCAACGAACGTCGTCGGCACAACCTCCTCTGATCAGCGGGACAACGGAACATATTCTCAGTCGCAGCAGCCCCGGTCCTCTGGTCGGGGCCATTCGGATGGATCTTATCGTGGGCGGGGTCGAGGTGGACGGGGCAGAGGACGGGGACGCGGACGTGGGCGCGGTTTCTCCTACTCCCAACAACCTCCATGGTATTTCTGGAATGCACCAACATGGACCACTCCACCGGTTCCTTATCCCACTGCACCACAACAGCGATACCCGATGACACGCCCTCCTGCCGCCGACATTCTCGGACCTTCTCCGGCACATGCTTACACCTCAGAAGCTTCGTACACCCCTACCAACATTGAGCAAGCCATGCATACCATGACACTCAACCCCGACCCCAACTGGTACGCTGACACGGGCGCGACAAATCACATGGCAAACACGACAGGTAAAATCTCAACTTACTTCAATAATAGCGGACCAAATCGTATCGTTGTTGGCAACGGCTCTTACATTCCGATACATGGCTCCGGACACACCACACTTCCACCTCCCTTCCCTCCTCTCAAACTCTATAATATCTTACATGCTCCTCATCTTATTAAAAACTTGTTATCTATTCGTCGCCTTACAACAGATAATTCCGTTGCCGTTGAATTTGACCCTTTTGGTTTAATTGTGAAGGATTACCGGACGCAGATTCCTATCCTGCGATGTGATAGCACCGGAGATCTTTACCCTCTCACACAACTAAATGCACAAGTTACTAGTCCGTTTGCTTTTGCTGCTCTGTCTCAAGACCTTTGGCATCGTCGTTTGGGACATCCCGGCTCCTCTTCTTTATGCATTTTGAATAAAAACAACTTTATTTCTGTTCGTGATTTTTCTGATAAAAACATATGTCAGTCTTGTGTGTTTGGAAAACAAATAAAATTACCTTTTTATGCTTCTACATCTTTTACCTGTTTACCTTTTGATATTGTCCATAGTGATCTTTGGACCTCCCCCGTGCTTAGTTCGGGAGGTCACCGCTATTATGTCTTGTTTATTGATGATTTCACAAATTACCTATGGACTTTCCCCCTGTCTAACAAATCACAAGTTTTCTCCATCTTTCTTGCTTTTCACAAACATATCACCACTCAATTTGAACGCCCAATAAAAACCTTTCAATGTGATAACGGCACGGAATACAACAACCAATTCTTTCACAATTTTTGTACATCCAACGGCATGGCTTTCCGATTCTCTTGCCCTCACACATCACCTCAAAATGGAAAAGCCGAAAGAACCGTTCGCACAATTAACAACATGGTTCGCACCCTCCTTTCTCATGCATCTTTGCCCACCTCCTTTTGGCACCATGCCCTTCAAATGGCCACATACATTCTCAACATACTTTCACACAAAACTAAACACTACTCCACCCCTACTTTTCTTCTTTTTAGCAAACACCCCACATACAATCACCTTAAAGTCTTCGGCTGCTTATGCTTCCCTTTAACACCTTCCACTTCCATCAACAAACTTCAAAACCGGTCCTCCCCCTGTGTGTTTCTCGGATACCCCTCCGGGTACAAATGCTATGATCTTTCTTCCCGTAAAATCATTATCTCTCGACATGTCATTTTTGACGAACATGTCTTCCCATTCGCCAAACTTCATTCGTCTCCACCAACATATAACTTTCTCCATTCTGACTTACATCCTACTGTCTGGGATTCAGTTTCTTATCCCACCGCCCAAACTACATCGTCCCCTCCTACTCTTTCTCACACCTCTCCTTACAGCAGCCCACCACCCTCTTCCTCCAAACCTACAACCCCACCTCCTTCCACCACAGTCGGCGCACCACCCTTACTCCACACCTACTCACGACGCCGACCATCTCACACTCATTCGACTACTACCCAAACACATGTCGAGCCTTCTCCTGCCTCCCCTCCTCCTCTACCCACTCGCACCATGACCACCCGCAGCATGTCTGGGATCACCAAAACAAAACAACCCACTTCTCTTCACACCTCCACTACCACCGCCATAGCTCCCTTACCCAGCAATCCAACCGAAGCCATCTCCGTACCGGAATGGAACCATGCCATGACTGACGAGTTTAACGCTCTTATCGATAATAATACTTGGGATTTGGTACCTCGGCGTCCAAATATGAATATTATTCGCTGCATGTGGATTTTTAAGCACAAAACTAAAGCTGATGGGTCACTAGAGCGCTACAAAGCGCGTTTGGTCTGTGATGGCAGGTCACAACAAGTGGGGATTGATTGCGATGAAACTTTTAGTCCGGTAGTAAAACCGGCTTCCATTCGCACGGTGCTTAGCATTGCTTTACATAAACGGTGGGTCATAAACCAACTCGATGTAAAGAATGCATTTCTTCACGGACACCTTTCTGAGACAGTTTTCATGCACCAACCTCTTGGGTTTCGGGACTCTACGCACCCTAATCATGTTTGCAGGTTGAAGCGCTCACTTTACGGTCTAAAACAAGCACCCCGTGCGTGGTACCAGCGCTTCACTGACTATGTTACCACTATTGGTTTTCAACATAGCACATGCGATCACTCCCTCTTTATTTACCGCCACGGCCCGGATACAGCATACCTTCTCCTTTATGTGGACGATATCATCTTCACCGCCTCTTCTACGTTATTGTACACCCGGCTATTTTCATGTCTGTCATCTGAGTTCGCTATGAAAGACCTCGGGCCCTTACACTATTTTCTTGGCATTTCTGTCAAGCGAGACGTTGCCGGCATGTTCCTCTCTCAGGAAAAATATGCCTCGGATATCATTTCTAGGGCCAAAATGGAGAACTGCAATCCAGTACAAACCCCGGTCAATATAGCAGGAAAACTAAGCAATGACGCAGGCAGTCTTATCGATAATCCCTCCACCTATCGTAGCCTTGCTGGGGCTCTTCAATACCTGACTTTCACCAGGCCCAACATTTCTTATGCTGTCCAGCAAGTGTGCATGCACATGCACGCCCCAAAACATGCTCATTGGGATGCTCTCAAACGCATTATCCGTTATGTTAAAGGCACCGTTCGCATGGGCTTACACATGTCTACGAGCTCCCCAGCCAACCTCGTCTCCTACACCGATGCAGACTGGGCAGGTTGCCCAGACACCAGGCGCTCCACTTCTGGCTATTACGTTTATTTAGGGGACAACTTGGTCTCCTGGTCTTCCAAACGCCAAACAATTATCTCTCGCTCCAGCGCCGAGGCAGAATACCGAGGGGTCGCTAATGTCGTAGCTGAAATCTATTGGCTGCGTAACCTATTACTTAAGCTTGTTATGCCACCAAAACACGCGTCACTGGTTTATTGTGACAATGTCAGCGCCATTTATCTCTCTCAAAACCCGATTCAACATCAACGTACAAAGCACATTGAAATCGACATTCATTTCGTTCGTGAAAAAGTGCAACGTGGCCAGATTCGGGTGTTACATGTGCCCTCCCGGTACCAGTTCGCTGACATTTTCACGAAGGGCCTCCCACGAGTTTTGTTTAACGATTTTCGGTCCAGTCTAAGCATTTGTGAACCTCCACCTTAGACTGAGGGGGTATATTAGACTAGTCTGTTTTTGTAATTATGTTATATTATGAGGTGGTCAAATGTAATGTTGTTTTGTATATATATACACTGATATCAATGAGAGGGGGATTGATTTTGGCCTTATCACATATTCTATTAGAATCCTCAGATGATGCATCAAGTTTCTTTACCAATGATGATGGATATCACCAAATTGGTTATGATAACAACAAGCCTCAAAACTTATGTTAAATTTTTAAGGGAAATTGTGGGAAATAACAAATAAGGGTGTTATCATTGAATCTCAAATAAGGTTAATTATGCCTTCATGTTAGGAAATTGTGAACTTGCTTTATCAACCTACCACCTTTTATCCACTGATTACTAGCTCACAAAGCATGGAAGCGATATGCAGGTAGCTACAAGTCTATGACCCTGTTTGTGTATTTCCAGAAATACCCCTCATTTTCCTAAAACATGTGCTTATTTATTACTTCGGGAAATGGTGTGGTCTGTGGTGGGTTGAAATGTTAAAAACAAGTGAGTAATATAAAGAGGTAATAAACAATTCTCTTTTGTGAATAAAAATATTTTATACGAGAATTTTGTTAAAAAAACTTCATTTTTTTGCAGGAACCTTATCATTCAGCTATGATGCTTAAACAAGCATTTTATTATTGTTACTTTTTATCCAAACCAAACCAGTTATGTTAAGTACGGATTTCATTTTTAAAATCAACCATATTACGACATTGTTTTAATTTCTTTTTTCTAGTAAGACAATGTAATTCAAATTTCTTTACTGTTTTGATTTTTTTTTTTTTTTTGAAAATCTAACTACTTTTAATATTATACTTTCAAAATCCAACCTATTAAGAAGTTGTATATTTTTCATGTTAATCTAAAGGCTAAACTTGATTAGCATTATACCTTCACTTATTTTCTATTAAGATTGTACTTTCAGTTTTAACATCATACTATTCTATATGGCATTATACCTTCGAAATCTAATATATTAACACACACTTGACCCAATGTACCTTTTTTTTATCTTCTATTATGACTTTTTATTTTGAATGTTAACCTTTTAAAGATATTATACAGTACTTCTATAAATCTAAATTTCTTTTATTTTGGTCATTTCTGTTGCGTTTCTCCCCGTTTCATGACTCTGTAACCCAATACCAATGAAACTCTAGGAACTTGGTATGGTTGAGATGATTATGTCTGCTAAAACCGGGACTTTAACTTGTGACAAAATGGAGTTCATGAAATACTCCATGAAGAGGATGCTAAAGCAGCTATTGCTATCTCTGTATCAGAAGCTACACAGATGGATTGAACTTACCTAATTTTTCCTTATACATGTTCATATCAGTTTATCTTTCTAATGTTCTGATTTGTTAAATGTGCAGACAACTGAGATTCTTCATTTGTTAAAGCAGATCAAGGAGAAGCTGATCAAATGGTAAATAATTAACAAATTTAAACAGTATAAAATGCAACTTTATAATTTAAACTAAGACAATAGTACAGTTCCTTTATGATATTTGGCATGCCATAAAATATTACATATATTAAAATGGAAAAAATGCCATAGGAACGAAATACATATATGTATTTCCATCCAGGTTTTTGACTCTTTACTTTTAAGTCCAACTGAATTTTGGAGAAAAAAAAGATTATATCAGATTGTGTATTTTTCCAGATATGAAGCACGTAACCTTTTTATTTTTTTTCTCAAGAAGTGTTGGCACTGATAATGTGCTACCTGGATTTGTGTCTATATCTATGTTTGACCTAATAAAAATGCTTTTATTTAGCGAAGAGTTCAATCTATTTTTTATGTTAAAAGTTAACTTAATTTAAAAGTTATTGATGTGCAATTGGTAGTTAAGTGATGCTTTCTTGTGTGTGGGTTTTGAAGTGTATAAATCTTTGCTAATTAATGTGAATATGTAATTGTAGTTCGGTAGTTGAAATTCATGCAACTTTGTTGCAATTCGCATGCTATTCTTTTCACTAACCGAAAATTATGCATACAGAAATGGAGATTATAAGTAATAACAGATAGTAGTATGTTACTTAATCAGTTCATGTTGCTTTACCTTGACTTTATTTCATGGTTTCTCAACCACTTTTGGTACCTGGCTCATCACCTAGATGTTAAATTTATGATGAAGTTTAAACAAAATTTCATCATAAATTTATGACTTAAAGTAAATATTTAAGAACCTGGATGGAAATCTATAAAGTCAATGAGATTAAGAACACTGGTTTCTTTGATATAGAGGCAAACTTTGACATTTTTTGATTTTAATTCAGCCGAATATTAAATGTACAAAGACCCTTTTCAACACCACCAACTCTACAAATCCCATCACCTACCCCCACCCCTCGTTGGTACTACTTTTCTGAATGGTGTTGGTGCTTAAATCTTGAAATGTCAAACTGTGTGCATCTTGTAGCTTTTCAATGGTGATGAAGAATTGAAATATATTTTTTTTATAATAAGCACAAGTAACTTGTTTCAATTTTGGTAACTGATTGTAATTGTTTTTTTTCTTCAATTTTGCTCCTTATTTGAGGTTTGTAACATTTTTTTTATCCTTTTTCCAAGTAAAATGACAATAAATTGCAAAAATCAGCTATACTTGACCAAAATTAGCCACAATACTAGGAACAAGGACCGGAAATGTTACAAGAATCTCAAATAAGGACCCAAATTTATAAATTTGTTTTAAATAGGGGCCAAAAGTGTATTTTTCTCTTTTTTCTAAGTTTGTGTGCTTTATGTTCTTCTGACAAGTTTTGCCTTTTTGTATCAGATAAAATATGCAATTTGTGCATACAAGAAATGCACTTTCTTTTTTTGTATAAAAGGAACAACATGGAATCATATCTAAATGAGTTATTAAAGTCTTGATATAATACGCCAAATTGGTTGAAAATTACGTTATTTCAGGTTTCCACTAAAAGCTGTGAAAGTTATGCATGTTGTGGCGTTAAGAAGCGAATAAAGTTCCACGATCAACACCAACCCCCCCCCCCCCCCCCCCCCCCCCCCCCCCTCCCTCTTGTGCAAGGTATGCGCTAATCAATGGTATCTCTCATTAAGGCATAAGAATAAAAAAAAAAATTATGCGAATATACATGATATTATATATTATTACAATGTATGTATACTATACTATTATACCATGTATATTTTGTATTTTGCCAGCCTTATTTGATTTTCTGATTTGAAACAGCTCATGTGCTACTTTGAGAATAGATTGATCGAAAGTGTTCATGAGATACTATTTCACAGAAGGCATGAATGATTAAGGAAATTTGAAGCTTTGGTAAGTTGTTATATTTAAGCCTTATTTCATGGTTTCTCAACCGCTTTTGGTACCTGGGTTGTCACCTAGATGTTAAATTTATGAAAATGACCATTTTGTCTCTGTCTTCTTCGTCTCTTTCATTTCCATTTTCAAGGAGCATGATGAAATTTCAACAAAATTTCTCTCTTTCCTTAGAAACTATTGTCATATATGTTGAAGGAGCATAACTAAACCCTAAATCCTTAAAAGTAGAATCTTTTTGAAAATATGGTTCTCATTTCATGTTGTGATAATCTTGTGTTTGGTCTCTGGGTCTCAACTTTAGCAGCCCATCTGTTAAATTTATGATAATGACCATTTTGCCAATGTCTTCTTCTTGTTTTCTATTTCCATGTTCAAGGAGCATAGCTTAACCCCCAACAAAATTCATCATTTTTCTTAAAAAGTATCTGTCATATACGTTTAAGGAGCATAACTATATCCTATAATCCCTGAAAAGTTTCTCTAAAAAGGAATATTTTTTGGTACTCATTTCCATGGGTCGTCAACTTTAACAAAACAGATATTAAATATTTCAACATGACCATTTTGCCCTTGTCTTCTTCATCTCTCTCGTTTCCATGTTCAAGCAGCATGATTAGCACCCCAACAAAATTCATCTCTTTCCTTAAAAAAAGTTGCATATGATATCTGATATGCTTAAAAATTATTGTTGTTTTTGTTTCAGATCATCAGAAGACACGAATGTATTTCCTGTGAATAACTTTCATCTTCAAAACAACTTTGTCTTCATTGGAGCTTCCAAGATCTCTCTCTTGCGAATGGAACACCTTCATCTTCATTCAGAGGCTCTCCCTATGATAACAATTAGAAGATACTTCCTTAAAGTATGTTTTTGTAACACTTTTACTCCTTGTCAAACATGAAATGACTATAGTACCCTTATCAATTCTTTTTGAATTGTTTTTATTATTTTTAATAAAAAAGAGTGAAACGGTTAAAAAAGAAATTGCTAAGGTTATTACAGTCAATTGATGTCTGATAAGGACTAAAAGTGCTACAAAAACATAAAATAAGGACTGTTTGTATCCAAATTGAAAAGTCAGGACTTGATTCAAAAAAATTATATAACCACATGGACCAATTTTGTAATTTACCCCGTTATTTTTGTTATACAGTGGTCAAATTTTTTGGTATATGAAGGCCGGGTCATGGGTCATGGATCCAGATGCTTTAGAAAAGAGAATATTCTACGGGGGAGTGGAACACTTGCAAAAAGAGGTTTTCTTATTTGGTACAATTTATGCGTTTACCCTTTTGGCTAATTTTAACGAAATTTATTAATAATGACTTGTAATTCCAGTTTTTTGGCACTTTTAACGGGATCTTATTCATACGATTCAACATACGGAGAGATGAAGTATATATGTTGTCTCACATGACTATATATCAAAACCAATGGCAGGCAAGGCAAATGACTATTTCACCCCCATCCTTGAAGTCCAAAATTCCTCAATCTCCATCTTAAACTCTTATCAAACCACAACTAAAACAAAATTAGGATCAGCAAACTAAAATTATTATTAGGTTGGATTGTTTATTTATTTATTTTGTTTTAATTTTTGAGTTTTTATTGAGTTTCGTTTGGTTTTTATGATTTAAAATGAAGGAGATTGAGAAGATGAAGATAAGGGCAAAAAAGTCATTTTACTTAAAACTAATCAGTCATTTTTTTGAACACCATCAAGTGACATAGACGAACCTTGCAACAAAGTTAAATTTGTTTGTACAATATTTAATATATATATATATATATATATATATATATATATATATATATATATATATATATATTTTTTGTCACAGGGCATGAGTGACCTTCTCTCTCCAATATCATTAATCATGAAAGATGAATTATAATCTTTCTGGTGTTTTGTTTCTTTAATAGAAAGATTAGGTCCAAATTTCAACCATGATCAACACGGCATGCACTCAACTCTTTGCACCATCGAAGGTCCTCGATTACTCCCTCTATCAGAATATATACCAAGGGTATTTTGGTCATTTAATAAAAAAGAAAGAAAGAAACTGAATTCCTTCCACCTGCCCTATGAAATGGTTGAAGTCCATCAAATATGAAATTCGAAGTAATTTGACAATGTTGAATTCCGTCCAATTTACAACCAAATGCACCATTGAACGGAATGTCGAATTCCAATTCCACAGGAATCCATAATTCCAATTCTTAGCTGCAATTATTAAACATGGATTTCAAGAAATCCGACAGAATTGAATTTCATCTAAATTGGCAACCAAACACGTCGTGAAATGGAATCTCGAAATCCAACCCTGTCGGAATCTGCGATTCCATTAAACAACTAGTTCAAACAATATGACTGCTTGAATTACTTCTGTTTCCGTTGGATTCTGATCCAATTCAAAAGGCAAGTAAATTTACTCTTCTATCTTAACAGCATGATTAACACCCCAACAAAATTCATCTCTTTCCTTAAAAAAAAGTTGCATGTGATATCTGATATGCTTAAAAATTATTGTTGTTTTTGTTTCAGATCATCAGAAGACACAAATGTATTTCTTGTGAATAACTTTCTTCAAAGAACTTTGTCTTCATTGAAGCTCCTTCCAAAACCTCTTGCAAGTTGCAAATGGAACACCTTCATCTTCATTCAGAGGCTCTCCCTCTGATAACAATCAGAAGATACTTACTTGATACAGTTACTACTTCATAAGACAATCATTCGGGCAGCGGGCAGCAAAACAACTACCCAAGATCCTTCCATTAAAGTTTCTCTCTTATGACAAGGTTTGCCTGGGAAACAACTTCCCAACTCTTCTAAGACAACATTGTTGATGGTCAAAGTCAAAGTAAGAGTCAAAATGAAATAAGGAGAAATAATTGGGCTTCCAAAGACCACCAGCCTCTTGAAATGGCCCTCCAAGGAGAAATAATTGAGGTAATTTGATAAGGATTAACAAATTAGGGATGAAGCAATGTAAAGGAAATGAGACACAATAACAATGGAGGAAGGAATATCTTGATAACAAAATGCAAAATAAGAACATAACCAGGGAAAACGTCCCTCTCTCACACACACACAAGAATGTGGAGCCAGCACAATCATGCACACAAAATAACAGAATGACCACTAACAAAATCCTCCTGCTCTATTTATTCTTACATTCTCACTCCTCCAACTAATCAGCCACTTTTCTCACTTGACCCTTTTACCCTTCTGGAATATACTTTCCAGATCCTTGGTTTATTAACATCGTGACTACCCAAGTATGAATTTGCATCATAATTCATATCAGAAAATAAATTAAGAAAAGCTGCTTTTGTATCAAAAATAATTAGGCTGTCTCATATAATTATTATTTTTCATTTATTTTTGGAAGTTTGATAAATTATCACTGGTCTTATGAAGAGGTAACACACATTTGTTTTTAATTTATTTATACAGGAAATTTCAGGAAATAGCAATATACTTACTTCATTCTTTTTACCAATGTAGGGAATATACTTTATGTTATACCCATGTTAGCGATGTGTAACCCATAATAGCTACATACTTGCATTTTTTTACAGATAAAAGCATTGTACTTGCAGTTATGGCAACATACTTAGATCTCCTTACCAATAATTGCAATATGCCAATATGTAACAAATAAACTACATTGCCCACATCAGTAGGGAAATCAAATTATATTGTTATTGCAGGTAAAAGTTTAAGTATGCTTGCTAATATGGATAAAGAATAATGTACATTGCCTATATTGGTAAAAAGAGTAAAGTATGTTACAATTTTGTCCTTGTGATATTTCAAAATACAGTTATGGTTTTGATCTAGACATTTCATTTGTTGCACAAGTGGTCCTTAAAGTATAGTTTTGTTGCAAGGTTTGTCCCTGGTACTAGTACTGATAGTGTTACAAAATGTCCTTCAAGTCCAAGTAAAATAACTATGTCTTAAACTCCTCAATTTCCATCTTAAACTCTTATCAAACCAAAACTAAAACAAAATTAGGATCAGCAAACTAAAATATTATTAGGTTGGGATTTTTTTTTTTTGGGTTTTGATTGAATTTGGTTTGGTTTTTATGATTTAAAATGAAGGAGATTCAGAAGATGAAGATAAGGGGAAAAAAGTTATTTTACTTAAAACAAATCAGTCATTTTTTTGCACACCATCAGTGACATGGACGAACCTTGCAACAAAATCAAGTTTGTTCATTAATTTATTTTTTGTTTATTTCAAAAAAAAAATTATATAAAAAATCTAGTTTGATGTTTGTTGTAGTTTTTCCTAAAAATTGTGGAATTTTGGTTTGGGTTTAATAAATCTAGTTTAAAAGAAATAGATGTCATTTTTAAACATGTTTGAACTTTCCATTTAATTCTTGTTTATACATTTAAATTGAATTGGCCATTTAGATTAAGATATTTTCAAGGAATGCTAGTAAGATTTTTGAATAACTTAATTAGTTTTACCAAAGTAACAAATGATGTTTCATGTTTGTGAACTTGCGAGAGAAGGAGAACGTGGTCGGAAAACATGTTTTCTTTTAATACAATCTTTCAGTCAACTTTCAAAAACCTGAATAATGATACCCCATACCTCATCAAGAATTTGAATAAAAAAACCCATACCCATAAAGTGGTTGATAGAATGAATAATGATCCATTGCAACAACAGGACCAGCATCAGAATATCTACCCTAACAATTTGATGAATTCCCACAAAATAATGATACAAAATATATGCGAAATTGAGCCCAACCCTACAACGAGTCTGGAATCAATTCTAAAAACTCCGCTCGTGCAGCCGGGTCATGCGAAAACCGACCCAACACCGCAATTGTACCCGTATTACTACCAAACTTTTCAATCCCTCTTGAGATCATACACGTATGATTCGCTTCCACTACAACAATTATATCTCCACCCAATAATCGAGAAACAGTCTCAGCAATCTGCCTCGTGAGTCGTTCTTGAACTTGGAGTTTAAAACCATGAAAATGTACAACCGATTGTAGAATAGATTTCAAAATCGGGCTCACTTCTTCACTCGATACATACCCAATATGAACCGACCCGTAAAACGGAAGTAAATGGTGCTCACAAAGCGACCATAACGATAAGTTCAACTCCGATCTAATCTTGCAATTCGTTGGGCTTGTGGTTTTCAATGGGCCCAAACCAAGCCCGTTTAATTTCATCTCCAATTTTGAATCTTTAAAGTTAGATAGCCATTTTACAAACCGGGTTGGGGTTCCCGTGAGTTCTTTTCGACCCGGGTCTTGACCCAATGACCGTATAATTGAGGTGACCGCGGTATCCATGGGTGAAACACCGGGTCCGGTTTTGACCCGTGACAGGCACGGGCACCAAGAATCTTTATTGGTGGTTTTTGAATGGATGTTATCTAAAGTTATGTCCCGGCGTCGTAAAAGACCGAAAAAATCGATCCAATTGGCGGAATCTGGTTTTCCGAAAGAGCCGGAACCGGAATTGACTATTACGTTGACCCATCTTTTTTGGTTGGAATCGAGAAAAGCGGAATGGGAATCAGGGAAGTGGATGTGTGAGCAGTGGAGAACAACAGCAACACCGGTTGGGTTGATTCCGTGTTGTAAACCGTTGCAAATCTCGTCAGCTAACCGTTGTGGATCTTGGAGGCGTTTTGTGAAGATATCGGCTACACGGGAAAGTTTGCTAAGGCCCACAACTCGTTGACCAGATGGAATGTAACCTATGTGACATTTGACCTGGAATGGGAGCAAACAAGACTCGCAGTATGAGAAGAGATCGAGATCTCTAACAAGAACAAGTCCACCAGCTCCTCCGGCATGGCCAATTCCGGTTTCTAATCCCAATTCCGGGAATAACGCACCTTGGACTATGTCTTTCACGTTTTGTTTATAGCCTGGATAAGAGCAAGCATACCCAAAAAAACATTACAACCAAACATACATAAAACACCATTTTTGATTTTCCCTATTCGAAAAGGAAACATTCAAACCACAGTAATTCAACATATATCTTCACAATAAGAAAAGAGCTAACCTCTGGTTCCTTCACGAAGGGCTTTAGCAACACGAAGAGGGGTCTTCCTAAGACCTTCTCTATTGATGTCTTCACCCAAACCCTGTAACAAAACCTTCACAGCATCTTCAATGGCTACAGTCTCTGGTTCTTGCTCAAAACCACAACCACCAAGCTTCACTCCATTTTCTAGCACCACATTGTAGTGACCCTCATCCAAGGCTCCCATTGAAAGAGAAGCCTTAAAACCCAAATCGGATCTAATCTAAAATCTAAATATAATAAAAACCCTTTCTTGATTTATCAATAAAGATTGTATCTTTGAGTAAAAAGATCCAAAAATCGAAAACCCAGATCGAAAATCAGAAGAGCAGGTTAAAGAAACGTCAAGACAAGAAATAAACCAGCCAAATAGAAGCACTTTTTGGAAGATTAAGATAAAGAAAGGTGGCCACTGGTTAGGGATATGGAGGATGGGGTTGTGAAAATTACGAGAGAAATGATAAACAAGTTGGAGAGAATAAGAGTCAAAGATGTGCGTTTTGTGAATGTAATTTGTGTGAATTATATAGAGATGAAGGGTATGTATGACGTTGATTTTGTAATGGTTTTTATTCGTTTATTAAATTGAATAATAAAAAATCAAGAAATAGATCCAATCCCAACCTTGGATCTTCTAACTCCTTGGTGAATGAAGGTTATCGGCGGTTGTGTCTTTTTTCACCAGTCTTGAAGTGGGACCCTTGTGCAAGATCTGGGGTTGGTGATCCATCGTTTTCAATCTGTTACACACTTGCATGGTGTTTGTGCCTGTGGATATATAGATACATGGATGTATATGTATAGGTATAATGTGAGAGAAATAGATGGAAGAGATTGGGGGTGGTGGGAGGTCAAAAGGTGGGATGTGTGCTGGAGTGGGGTTTATAGGACTCACCCACCGCCTGATGGGAACCGGGTCGAATAAACGCGTCGGGTCAAAGAGATGATGACATGATGACCATGATCTTGATGATGGAGGCCACCAACCCACCATAGAAATGGAGTTGGACTTTAATAATAGTGATTGGGTATTTGGAAAAAAAAAAAAAAAAAATCATTCCCATAGATTCCGGATCAGAGAACAGTAAATACTCCAATAACATTTTATTTTATTGTCTTTGTTTTTATTTTTTTTAAATATTACAAAAGGGCCACTATCTCTCTCTTTCTCTCTCTCATTTGAAAAAATAGAGACCGGTCTCAATAAAGAGAAAGAGTTGGGGCTGAGAAAAAGTCATCTTCAGAATGAAGAGATGAGGGAAAAAGTGTAGTTCCATTGACCTAACTCTTGTCTATCACCACTCAAACCACACACCTACACAGTAAGTGCCCTTGTAGGAACTAAGTGCCATTATTAATCAAAGGTGGGATTTGGATGTGTTCAAGATGTTCAATTGATGGGATTTGGAAATAGATTTAGGGTCTGTTTGATATTGTGCTGACCAGGTCCGATCAATGCTTTTTGGCTGATTCGGTCCGGTCAGCGTGTTTGATGCATGCTAAATATGCTTCTGACCCGATCATTACTTCCTGACTCGGTCCTAGAGAAAATAGCAGCTGACCGAGTAGGTGATGGAAGAAAGACATTCGTGCCCCAGTAAAAAACATAAACATGTCTCCTCCTTCCAACGCCTTCACAGAGCCCATCAAACGACTCTTCTTCCTTCAAAACGTCCCGCCCGCCAGACACTTTTGCCGCCGCCGCCGCAAGTAGCGTCTCTGACCTCCGCCTCTCCTAATGCAAATTCCTCCCGCCATCCTCCGCCTATCCTGATGGTTGCAATAGATGGTGAATTTTGATCGAAAATTTCAGAGGGAGGGAGCTATCAAGCAACAGAGGGAGATCGTGAGTACTGAAGTGGATTGAAGCTCAAATAATTGATTAATTAACCTAGCAACCAAAGGTATGATCTTATGCCTTTTGTTATTGCAATTCTGAGAACTGAAGTGGACCTCGTTTGCATCTAAGGGTTGAATTTAAGCTAGAGTTTCATTAATTTGCTGAAATTGGATTGTTGTGGAGTTTCATTAATTTTACTTTGTAGCTCTTTTTGGCACTTTTGATCTATTATGCAAATTTCGAAATGTTTAAGGCAGATTTGGTGATCTTATGTTAAAAAATTCACCATTCTTACCTTGGTATTTGTCTATTTTATGAATTAAACTCAAAAAATGTAAGGTAAAATCCTTCTTTGTTATTGTTGGGTTGTTTGATGTAGATAAAGTTATGTATATGCTTTGTAATTTCTATTTTTATAATGAAATTCTATACAGATATCCATGAATTTACACCGGTTAGTATAATTCAACTATTGTTAGGTAACTCAAGGTATACAGATTTTCATAGCAGGTGATATTTATGTATAGGAAACAGTTGACTACTTTTTTTGTTTCGAAGATAGGACTTTACTATGCAGAAAATGTGATGTTGCAAAACATACAGTCAACACTTTTGTTTCATCAGGTGCCCGATGCCTCTTGGGAAGTTCCACAAATCTGTTCACCACCAACTAATTTAAGCATAAAGACTTGGATCTAATTGCAACGGCTGGTTATTTAGAGGAAATTATGTGATGTATTCAAGATCAAAGGGGTTTTTTCATGTAACTTTTGTCTAAATGGATGGGCAATTTTGTAATTTTGCTTAGGGTTTAGTTTGGCCTTTGAGATATGTTAATCGCTTATTGTATTGTAGGTTGTTTCTTCATAAGTGATACAGGGCAGTGTGTCAATCTTTTTTTAAATGTGCATATATTCATGTTTAAAACTCAAGATATGCGTAATAACGAATAGCCTTTGTATTACTTGAATTGAATTACTGGTTAGCATCAAATTGTCTTTCATGCACCTCATGTTTTGTTTGACATGAACATAAAAGTAAATTGATTTTGCTTATTAAATTATCTACTTTTAGAACCTCATTCTTTGGAATTTATGATTTCAACTGTCGATGTGTTATATATTGTTGACATAGGTCTAAAATCCAAACACCCAACCATTATCGGGATAATCTATTAGCGGTTGTTCCGTTGGTTGAACGATTTTAATAAAAAAATGTAATGTTATAAATTGAATGGTAAATTGTAAGGGAATATTACAAAATAATATTGTTTGAGGGTAATATAGTCATTTTTCACAGTCAGTCAGATGCAAAATCAAACAACAAGTTTCAGTCATAAGTTAATTCAGTCAGAACTTCTAACCCAATCAGCTTCTAACTCAATCAGCTCTAACCCAGTTAGCAACTATCAAACGACCCCTTAATTGGGTTAATCGGAAGTGGGACTTTGGATCTTCGTCTTCAATCGATGGGATTTGGATTCAGAGATGTTTATCGGAGTGGGTGGTAGAAATGGAGGGGGAGTTTTGCGGATAGGTTAATCGAACATACGATTTTTTCAAGGTGCAGATTTTTCAGGTTTAATCGGAGGTGTGTTTCGGGATTAGTAATATATATATATAAGAAAGAGAATAAACTATATTATTAAAGGATAATATATTTAAAGATCATCTAAGCATTAAAAGTAACAAAAGATAACTAAATTATTAAAAAGGTAGCAAAACATGTCACTTAGGCTAAGCGGAGTGGCACTCGCCGAAGCCACTCGCTTAGCTCGCCATTGATGTAGAACACCACCCCCTAACTCTCGCTAAGGGGCTCGCCAAAGCATGGTCGCCATCCTTATAGCATGAAGAAAGAGAAAGAGTAAATTACACGAATCGTCCCTGGTCCAAGTGCCAAATTGCACGTTCAGTCCCTATTTTTGAAAATTAACTCGGACCGTCCCTCATGTATTTAAATACTACCCGCCCAGTCCCTATTGTCGTTAGACGTTAGTTTTCTCCGTTTGGGTGCCCCACGTGCCTTGCACGCAGGGGTATTTTCGTCATTTCATCTTGTATGCCCCTATTAGAGCCGTTGCCCCTCCCCTGATTTCATTTATCTTCGCCGGTCTTCTTCCCCATTACTTTTTCCCCCTTTCGTTCTTCGATTACCCTTCTCCAACCAACAAAAATGGCAATTAGATGCAATTGTGGAGTTGAAGCTGTGATTCGTACCTCATGGAGCAAGAACAACCCTGTAAAACGTTACTATGCTTGTTCTAACCCGGTTAATTTCGATTTGCTGATAAATCTAACCTAATCTCCTAACTTCTTCTATTTTCTGTAAATTTTAGCATTGTTAAATGTTTCTACACTTATTTTGCAGGCTCGTGGTTGCAAGTTCATTGGTTGGGTGGTGGAGGATCAGAAATGTGCTTGTATGAACATTAGGATGAAGCTTGAACAACAAAATCTGAAACTGAAGTTGTATCTAGCTATTAGTTGGTTTCTGTTTGTGTCAATTCTAGTGTACAAAGTGTATGATTACCTTTTAGTTGTACAAACTCAAGTTGGATGTATCAGTTTGCATGTTAATGAAAATTGGGTGTTTTTTTGGTAATTGCCAAACATGTATTCATACCAAAGTATTCATACCAAAACAACAATTTATATCATACCATTAAGTATTCATACCAAAACAACAATTTATATCATACCATTAAGTCATCAAACCATTACAAACATGGATTCATACATTAACAACCTAATTAATCATTAAGTCATTCAAAACATTACAAACATTCATCAAGTCAACATAGTTTGAAGTACATCACCATCATAGTTAAAGAAGTAGCAGAACATTAGTTCACAGCACCAAAAGACATGAAAGAACATTATTTCAAGTACATAAAAAGCATTAGCCAACCAAAAGATAAGAAAGTAATACACAAACACTAAACCATCAGACTTTTTCCCTTGTTCACAGCACCTGAGTTCTGTCCCACACCAGCATTCTGTCCCACATCACTACCACTGGCCTGTGATCCTCCCACTGTCTGCCCCTTGCAGCTCCTACCCTTATGCCCAACATTTCCACACTTTGAACATCTAACTGTTCTGGTCCCTGTAGCACCATCATCTTCAGTAGCAGATCTTCTTCTTTTCTTTTTTGGCCTACCAATAGGCACATGATGTTTTGGTGGTAGTAACTTTGTTGGACAAAGACTTTTTGGCCACATCATCCTACCATTAATTGGTTCAATTTTAAAGGCATACATCTCTTGCCATGTCTTCAACCAGTATGTTGGGTGAACCCATGTTTCAGGTATCCCAACATTCTCATTATTTCTCCTCATATCCCATATAGCTGCAATTGTATGCTTGCATGGTATGCCAGTGACCTCCCACTTGTTACATGAGCATGTATGTTGTGTTATGTCAACTACACATTGGTCCACACCTTCACCACCTGTAACCTGATACTTCCCATTTCCACAAAACACAACCCTATACTCTGCAGCTTCACCTTTGATCTTCTCTAGAGTCTTGGTAGCTGTAGGAGTTAGTGGGCCAGAACATTTGTCAATTGTCTTTTGGATAATAACAAGCTTCTTCATTATGTACTCTCTAATAAATTCCAAGCAACTTATAATTGGTTTGTCACGACCCTATGTCTCACAAAGGTTGTTTAACAATGCATCACAATGTGCTCTTCCTGTAGAATAACAATGTTGCATCATAATTTTCAGTAATCTTTTAAGATGCATACTCAACAATGTTTAAGAATTCTAACATGTATAACTGACCTGTGAAGTGAGACCTGGACCAATGTTGGGGTGTGGAATGGCTTTAAGCCATTCATATGCATCATTGTTCAATTTCTTCAGTTCCTCCATTGCATGATTGAATTGTTGTACAGTTGATGTTGTTGCACATTTCCAGAGACAATCTTTAAACTCCTTGCCCCTCCACTTCCGCTTCATATTCTCATAGATATGTCGAAGGCAAAATCTATTTTCTGCACATAGAAACAATTTTGCAATTGCAGGCAAAACACCCTACAACATAAACACAATCAATTTTATATAATTAGTACAAATAATATAAAGGTTAAGTAGTTAAACTGTGTATACTATTACCTTCTGCCTATCAGTTATAAATGTGAAGTTTGAATTGG